GAGAGAGCATGCAGTCCGGCTTCCCCCACCAATCAGGAAGCTGGGCGCCGTGTAATGGGCGCCGTGTAATTATGCGATGCCCGGCTTCTTGGTTGGCCGGGACGCCGGCTCCAATGTCATGAGGTGATAAGGGAGCATGAAGCCGGCTTCCCGGCCAATCAGGCTGCTGGGCGCTGCGTCATTACACTCTGCCTGGATTCCTGATGGGCCGGGAAGCCGGCTCCATGCTCTCTCGTCACAAGTGAGGAGGGAGCATGGAGCTGGCTTCCCCGCCCATCAGGAAGCCGGGCAGAGTGTAATGACGCAGCGCCCAGCAGCCTGATTCAGGAAGTATCGGGCTAGGCATCGGGAGCATTTGGGCGAGTATGAGTACTAGTATTGATATCGTTGCATCCCTACTTTTAAGCATGTTAAGCTTTAGGTATCAATGTATCTGCCATCACCGTCTGCGGTGAAGCTCTAATAACCATGGACTTACCACTTGTATAGTTCCTGTGCTGGGGACGTTGTACCCCTTCCTGCCGACACCGTCCAGGTCAATCACTCCCTATGGGTAGAAGAACATATTAAAATATGAAAGCATTTAATAAATCACCGTGTCCTCTTCCATGAATTCTACTGCCAGCCAGACTGCAAAACATCAGCTAGATGGTCAAACGTATCCAGTCTGTCCCATCTCACCGAGAAACTAGGGGTCTTAAGGTGAATCTTTAGACAAATCTTAGTAGGGAATGGTGAAAATATCTAGAAAAGTTCTAACAAACTCAACTTGGGGGGTGGGGTTCTTCTCAATTAGAGCGGTCAGGGTCTGGAACTCGCTGCCGCAAGCAGTTATTTCAGCTGAGTGTTGAATCATTCAAAAAGCATTTGGACGATTTCCTCAGACCGTAACCTACAGGGGTACAGGTAACATACAGGAGGTACAGGTAACATACAGGGGTACAGGTAACATACAGGGGTACAGGTAACATACAGGGGTACAGGTAACATACAGGGGTACAGGTAACATACAGGGGTACAGGTAACATACAGGGGTACAGGTACCCTTAAGAACAGGATCACACATGGACTCATACACACGCATACACATGCAGAATCACATACATACACGCAATGGGTTGAACTCAACCTCAAATACTATGCAACTATGTAACTTACAAGTTTTCATTGGATTTCCAGTGGCCCCGATTAGACAAATCCCCCATCCAAATATTTCCAGTTAGGCCCGGTTCACACCTGGGCGTGTTGTAGCGCGTTCCTACACTCTGCAAAACGCTCAAACACCGAAATCCCATTGTTTCCTATGGGTATGGTTCACACCTGGGCGTATTACAGGCCGTATGAACGCGCTACAAAACGCCCAAAGTACAGGAGCTTCTTTGGGGCGTATTTGGCGCGCGTATCCATTGGGATACAGCCAGGTAGCCCTCGGAAATGCGCGTTTGTCACGCGTTTTTTTAACCGCAAATCGCGGTAAAAAACGCGCGGGCATGAAACGCGCATATTCGATACGCCTAGGTGTGAACCAAGCCTTAGGGCCTCAAACGGAGACTGTGTGCTGCGGAGGCAGTGGGGATGTGTGGACATGCATGGAGCACGTGTCCAGGCCTGTCTGGTCTTACAGACCAAAGTCCAATACGTCCCCTTGCACTCCTCACAGAATCTCCGGCCCGAATCACAATAATGGTGCTGGCTGTGATACTCACGGTTGGCGCCGTGCACATCAAACAGCAAATGAACAGGAATCGCCAGCACTCAGTGGAAAATATTAGAACGATAAAGTCAATTTAAAATCGGACAAATCATCGTACACGTTACCCTGATGAAGGGTCCTTGCGTAGCCCCCCGAAACGTCGGTTATAATTATTGCAACAGTTGTGGATGATTTGTCCGAATAAAAGGGACTTTATCGTTTGAATATTTTCCAGAGTGCTGGTGATTCCTGTTCATTTGCCGGTCTTACAGACCATCGCTTTTCCCAGACTGACGTCTAATCAGAATGACGGTGGTCATGAGAGGGACTGTGATTGAACAGGCAGGAAGCCCACAAGGTCCAAGCTGGGAGGCTAAAAAAGCTAATTATTATCTTTGCATCTGGGGAATGCTGAAAAGAAAGGAGATACCTTTGATCTGTGTGGCACCCAGGCCTGTTCCTAAAACTACCAGAGAGTGGAATAGGAGGGAAGACATGTGATGTCATCAAGAGTTCATACATTAGGGTTAGCTGCAGCATAAAAGGTGAATGGGAAGAGAACAGAGTACTTCCGGGAGACCCGTGGGGTCAGGCCCGGATTCCTCACAAGGCCCGGCCTCTGCATCGCAGAACCTGGCCTTGGGGCGGCAGGGAGAGTAAATCCGGCCCTGCGTGGGGTTAGATGGGGCTGCAGCCTAAATCCAACCCTCTTCAACATATGCATCAACGGACTGGCTGAAGCTCTAGAATCCTCCTCCGCACCATGACAGGGGTGTGGAATTCCTATCGCCCGACGCCCGGGACATGTAGTTTCGGGCGAGTAGTTTTTATGTACATCCCGGCTCCGGACAAGCAGAGCTGAATGTACAGTGTGGAGCCGCCGCTCGTTTAGTACAAGTGATCTGATCAGACCACTTGTATCAATTTGAGCAGCGGCGATCGTTTCTGCCCGCACCCCCCGCCCTCCTGGGGGACCCCGAAAACTACGGCACAACGCCTCAGCCATAGAGCCCGTAGAGCAGAACGAAGAACGTCACCTGTCTCGGCTGTCAGGAACTACACAGAACAGCTGTTCTGTGTTGGAGGGCAGGTTCCATAAAAGAGAACCTGTCACCTCCAAACTATCACATAAGGGATTTTAATCCCCTATGTGATAGGAACAACATTAAGTGGAAAAAGTAAATAAATACAAATTTAAAGAAAATTTAAAAAGTTAAAAATAAATAAATATTTACAAAATAAAATAAAAAAATCAAACCCTGCTGCCCCACCATCTGCATGCAAATAAACGCATGCGTAGGACATTCTGCATGTGCTTTGAGATTGCAGCCGCCATGACATGGTGGTAGTCAGAATTCTCTTACACACACAATGTGCATTAAAGGGTCAGTTCATTTTCCCAGGTAATATGGAAAAATAACAATTACCCGATGAAATCTGGCCCTGTATCTCCCAAACCGCCACCCCCCTGGCTATACTTACCTTTCGGCGAACAATCCCTCCCCTCCGCCAGTATGGGTGTACTATCTGTCCCCCGTACTGCTGTCCAGCGCAGTCCTCCCCTATGCATTTTGAATTTTGCTCGCAAATTGCAAGCACTCATTGGTCAACGTGGTCAGATGACTGCGCTGACCAGTGAGAAGCGCTATTTAGCGCAGTCAAATATGTTTTGATTAGGGGTGCACCGATACTAGTATCAGTGCCGATACCGAGTATTTGGGCAAGTACTCGTACTCACCCAAATGCTCCGATACCTTCCCCGATATTGGAACTTACGGCCAGATGAAAATTTCCTCTGACTGGCAGTGCCGTAGGGGAACATGGAGCCAGCCTCCCGTGCAATCAGGAAGCCGTGCGGCAAGTAATGACACGCCTCCTGGTTTTCTGATTGGCTCCTTGCTGTTTGGCTGGAAAGCCGGCTTCCTGGCATCGAGCCAGCTTCCCGGTCAATCAGATCACTACTCCCCACCCGGCTTCCTGATTGACCGGGAAGCAGGTTTCCCGGCCAAACACAATCAAGCCAAACAACATGGAGCCGGCTTCGGTGGCAATCAGGAACCTGTGCGGGATGACATTACCCGCTGCCCGGCTTCCTGATTACCAGGGAAGCCTGCTATATGCCAGCGGAAGCACCGGTATTAGTATTCAGTGTCGGCGAGATCCGAAAGCAAAAAAAAATAAAAAATCGGTACTCGATACCGAAAAACCGGTATTGGTGCATCCTTCATTTTGATTAAAACGATTTTTTTTGTATTGGGACGAGTAGATTCGGCCCCCGCCGCCCTTGGACAAGTAGTTTTCTTTTAAATGTCCACACCCCTGCATGAGTAGCTCTACATGACACCGAGGTGAAGTTCCTGTTGTATGCAGATGACCTCCTATTACTGTCACCAAGAGAGAGGCCTACAAGACAGCCTAGAAGTGCGGCATGGGATGGGACGGCACTACCCATCAACAAAAGTCATGGTTTTCCAAAAGGAAGAACACAAAAATGAAGAGTTCATCCTTCACACTAAACAACGTCACTCTTCATGAAGCCAACAGCAAAGCCCGTGACACACCGCACGCAATGCCGTGCAGAGCGAAGCAAAGCTGTCCGGCACGGAGCTTTGCGTGCAGTGTGTGAGCCGAGTGCAGTCAGATGATTGACTGCACCTTCAGCCAATCGGCTCGTGCGTAACAACCAGCCAGACGTCGCATGCTGACGTGCCGGTTTATACGCGCGGGCTGACGATTACATTTTTCATCTCGGCACGCTCATCTACGCGAGCTCTCGCAAGCTGACGTGCCGAGGAGAAAAATGACATGACAAGACATCGCGAAGGCAGCGCGCCACCGCTCCGCGCTGCTTGGCGTGCAGTGTGTCACAGCCTTTATACGTACCTCGGCATAGAAATTCATCAAACAGGAAGATTCAAGCCTGCTATAGAGACACCGAGAGACAAGGCGTGTAGAACCTTCTAGGCCTTCAGGAGACAACTCTTACAAACTAAAACCACCTGGAAGAAATCTTTCATAGTGTCATCACCCCAATCCTTCTTTATGGCAGTGAAGTATGGGGCCCCCCCCATCACCTATGCAGACCAACCCAGATGGGACACCAGACCAACAGACATATTCCATCTTGTATTCTGCAAGCACCTCCCCCAAGTCCATCAAACTCGCCGGGCAAGTCCTACTGAAGAGGGGAGAGGGAGGGTGGAAGGGAGAGGAGAAGATATATTGAGAGAGGGAGAGGGGA